AAGGGGCGTGCAGGGAGGAGACCCCCCCCCCCCCCCCCCCCCCCCCCCCCCCCGGGCCACACCCAGCCCGATTATTCCACCCAGAAAAAAAGAGAATTTCCACAGTTGGTGTTTCTGGGCTGGTTTCCACTGGCCTAAATTCAGGCAGAGGAAGGTGAGATGCGAACCTTCCCCCCTCCTCCTGCCCCCGCCCTGCAGAAGATGACAGCCCCACGGTAGGGGGGGCAGCTGGAAATAGAGATCTCCCTCGTCCTGCAAAGGGATCTCTCTGTATTTTCCATTCATCCGGCGGGAGACCCAAAACCTGGGGGGGGGGACAGCCTATGTTTACGGGCGGTGAGGAGTGTGGCGCCTCTGGGGTCGAGGATCACCTCTTCGCTTACGGCAAGGTCAAGAAAACTCTTCTATTCTGTTTTCCTCCATTTCAGCCCGGTGCTCCTTCCCCTGCTCCCTTGTTCCCTCGACACCCCCCTTGTCTGCCAAGAAGAATTAGAGAGGAAGGTTGTTCGCCGCCCCCTCCTCCCAGCATGTGACCTTTTCACGCTAGGCCTGAGGAACAGTACCATCAGTCTCTTCAGTGGCCCGAAAATCGGTGCGACCCGTTCGTGGTGAGGCCAGACCGGCCCCCAGTTTGTTCTGCCATGCTGCCTCCATTTCTTTCACTCCCTCTTTCACCCCCAGCCTCAAATTACCCTCCCCAGCTCCAAATTCCTTTATCAGGCCGAGATTTCCCATAATCCTTTCAGCTGCTGCCTATCTGACCTCAGTAATATTCATTCTTTTAATGCCATGTCCCTTTGCTGCGTCGGGTATCCAAGTCCTTCTGCATCTGCATGTCAGTGAGGCCAACTGATCGCCATGGAATCGTGGGTACAGGTGCACCTGAAGCGATTCCGCCTCTTTCCTGTAACCCGTGGTAATTATCCTGTTCTTTCATCCATTGTGTCCATTCTCTGTATGTAACGTCAGCCTTGTCAGGAGCTGCCTTTCCTCAAGCTGTGTGATGTGTATCGGAGTAGGCCTCCATTGTCCTGGGCGTGGTCCAGAACCGCTCGCCGGCAGCAGAAGGCTTCCCTCCCCCCTCTCAATGGGGGCGCCCTTCCTGGCTCCTGGGTGAATCTCACCTGGCCCACGCTGGCCTGGTTCTGTACCGTTTCCAGGCAGGTCTCGCTCTCCCTGCTCTCCTGCCCCCATACGGACCAGGGCTCCGTCCCACACGGAAGCCGACTCCTTGCAGTATGTTTGGGAGGATTAGGGCGTGCCTCGTGCCTCGGGCGTGCCTCGTGCCTCGGGCGTGCCTCTTGCCTCCTGCCTATATTACTTCCCCTTGATTAGCTTCTTGTAAGAACTTCCACTCTCCGCCTCCACATGCCTCTGGATCACCTCCACCTTCGCTAAGTGCCCACACCCCCACGCCAGACATGGATCAGTCAGCTCAGGGGCAAAGTCCTGTGTTACCTGACTAGGGGACTTTAACAGGCCCCTGTCTCCTTTATTTGTTTGCTCTCTCTCTCTCTCTCTCTTCGTCTCTCTTTCCCTCTCCCCCCTTTTTCTCTCTCTCTGCCTCTCCCTCCCTCCCTCTGTCTCCCTCGTTCTCTCCCTATTTGCTTTCCTCTCCAATTGTTTCCCCTCTGTCTCCCCTCCTTGGTTATTGCGGTAACCCCAAATTACCAGGGTGACAGGGTGGGGTGTGGAAATCCATCCGTTAGTCAACGTCAGCCATGGGGGTGGGGCCTCTTCGAAACATTGTGGGGCGAACAAGAAACACAGAGGAACCGGGGGGGGGGGTGTCCCGAAGGCCCGCAGGGGTATCTAATTGCAGAGGGAGGGGATGGTGCGTGGCAGCCGGCGAGCCAAAACCGCCATGGGTGAGACCTGCTTGTGGGATTTTTTTTGCAAGAGTTAACTGAAGAAAAGCATGCGTGTCAGAGCTACACGGCAGCTATTTAAAGTTGTAAAAATATGACGGCGGGTGCAGCTCGGAGGTTAACGAAAGCGGCATTTTTCCGGGTGTTCAGGATAGAGCCCCAAGCGAGATCGTGTGCTGCGGATGCGCAAGAAATGCACAGCTGTAGAAACAGGTCACAGTGAAACATGATGCTGTGTGTGTGTGTGTTTCTGTGTGTGTCTGTGCGTGTCTGTGCATGTGTGTGTGTATAGATTTTAAGGGACGTTTAGCCCATTTTCTTATTAATGCAACTGATTAAGTCAAAGCTGAACTGAAATATAATTGCATGGTATGCACGGAAACCCACGAGAAATGTGGAAGCTGCCAGAGAAGTGTA